AGGGCAGCCTTGTGCCAGGCATGGTATATGGTGGTGCACACCTGTGCTTTCACTGCCCTTGAGGTGGCAGGAGGACCATGGGTTCAAGGCTAGCCTGGGTAACTCAGTGTGTTCCGTCTCCAAAAGACAAGGCTGGCGTGTAGCTCTGTGGTAAGGACCACGTGGGCTGCCCTGGCTGTACCAGCAATACTGAAAAAGGCAAGCAGCTTTGGAAGGGAAAGGACCCTTGACTTTAGGACGTTGCTAGTCTCTAATTTAAAAAGTAAACAACGGAAGTTTAAACCGGGACAGGAGTCTGCATTCTTTGCAGCCTGTAGCTGGGGAAAGGGGGCAGCAGGTTGTCTGTGTTTTCATGCAGGGAGATAAATTAGGCACCAAACTGAGCAAACGATTTACACTTACATGAAAACCCAGAGGTGAGCGGAATGTGCACGGCAGAGCCTCTGGGGTGCAGGAAAAAGAGTTGACTTCCCCATTGATGTTGATGTGAAGCCACACTCCCAGCCCGGCTATAGTCTTCCCTTGGAAAATGATGTTTTTGTATCAAAGGGAACCTGACAAGAATGACAGCAATTCTTCTCCCGAGTTGCATCAGTTCTGGGTGGAGACCTGGAGCCTGCAGAGTGAGCAGGGAAGGCAGAGGGCTCCCCTGCTCCACCGTGAATGGATCCAGTGTGCTGAGGCATCCCTGCTGGCTGAGGTCACAGGGTGAGGAACTCCCGCTGTCAAAGCCTCCTCCAAAGCTTGTGATTCCAGGTCTTTATGAGTGGCCCACGCTGTTTGATCAGCACAGAGGTCTTACTGCAGTGCAGCACGGGGCATCTTTATTAATTGTGGACTCTCAGAAATTTCTACTCAGTGAGGTAATGAAAGCCCTGGAAGCTCTCGCTCTGCCGACCGCCTTCTTAGTACTGCTCAATATCAGCTGTTAGACCAGTGGTTCTCAACCTTTTGAGGGTCCAGTGACCTTAATACAAGGGTGGCCTAAGACCACCAGAAAACACAGATGTTTTCATTACGATTCATAACAGTAGCAAAATTACAGTTCTGAAGTAGTGACAAAATAACTTTATAGTTGGGGGTCACCACAGCAAGGAACTGTATCAAAGGGTTGCAGTATTAGGAAGGTTGAGAACAACCACTGAGTTATCTCCAATATCCACACAATTGTTCAATAACACAGAGTCCCAAGGCTGTCGGGAGGAGGTCTCAGACTCCTGGAACAATTAAAAGCATAGAAAATCCTGGATAGTTTTTCAGTCTGTCCTATGGCTTTAGGAAAGTCTGAGACAGGTAACCCAACCAATCAATAAACATTAAAGGAAAAATATTGCAATCAAATCAGCATGATCAAAGCACATTCTGCCTTGACCAGTCGAAGCTTCATTTCTTTCCAGACAACATGACTTGATGTAATCTTGGACTCTAGGGAATTTTTCTTATATATTACAGTGTTTCTGAAAAAAAAAAAATCCTTCAAAATTCATTAATCAGAAACAGGATTGTCTCTGCACTAGACAGAAGACAATTTCCAGAGATAAGTTGTAAGAACCTTGTTATGGACAGGACTGGAGGTAGCTTACCAGGGTTCACTCTAGACAGACAGTCCCACAGAATTCCCTTACAAAATCAGGGTCTTTCTGTGTACCCCATTAGTCAGTTGAAAGTTAAATAAAAGCAAATCTAATGAAATCAGTAAAACATAAAGTAAATATAACAAATAAAAGGACGAGAAGAAAGCCTTTAGAGTTCAGCTGAGAGGCCCTAAGCAAGATTTCAAATTGGTGGAGTGATGTCAGAAAAGGGAAAATGGTGTGGGAAGTCCTTCTGTATATGTGTTGTTTTTATTGGTTAATGAAAAGCTACTTTGGCCCATGACAGGACAGACTAGAGCTAAATGGGAAAACTAAACTGAATGCTGGGAGAAAGTTCATGGAGTCAGAGAGACGCCTTGTAGCTGCTGAAGGAGAAAGGCACCCGTTGAAGCCTGATGGAACCTTGCCAGTAGGCCACAACTTCATGTTGATGAATAGATTAATAGAGATGGCTTAATTTAAGATGTAAAGCTAGCTAAAAATGTGCATAAGAAAGTAGACCAAGCAGTGTTTTAATTAATACAGTTTCTATGTGATTATTTCGGGTCTGGGAAGATGGGAAACAAATAAACAGTCTCCATACAGAGGCATAAGTCCTACCTATTATTCTACACAGCAAGACTTGGTAGTACAAAGATATCAAAATGTTCCTTAAGTTGACGTACAAATACACAATTTTACAGAAGTGTGAGTTACTCAAATTCTGAAGAGCGAATCTGTGTATTTTACCATTAAAAAACCAGGTAGTCTTTTGAGACATATACATGAGTTATATGTGTATTTACCATGCACATGTGAGTTACATGCATTTTTACCGTTTGAAAACATTTATTGTTCTTTCCATATGAAATATCTTTTATCTTTCCCCTTAGTGCCATATACTTACCCTTTTGGCTTTCTCAGAGTTATTTTTTTTCTTATTTAATTATAATGTTTAAAGAACTATTTTTAAAGTAATGTGGGCCATGACTTTTCTGCCTGAATAATATTCCTGATACAAACAAACACAACCGAATCATGCTTCTTATGCACATTCCTTGAATGAATGGCCCTTAGTCCACTTGTAGATGTTTGTGAAGGACCACACTCACCCTGCAGCTAATGGCCCACATTTCACTGGCACTTTCATTTTTCTGGCTTAGATCTACAGGTGTGAGTGGGTGGGAGCAAAGGTCTTTGCGTATTACAACTTCTGGTGGGTTTTTACTGGAACCCTTTGCACAGATGTGGGTAGCAGCTTAACATCCATATCCACATTGTATGAGAGTGCCCTTTATCCCAATTTCCCAATATTGGATATAGTGGCTTATTTAGTTAATGCCAGGTTTGTTATTTGTGTCTTCTTTTTTAAAGTAAGATTTACTTATTTATTACTCACTTTGTTTGCATGGATATTTTGCTTGCATGTATGGATGTGTATCATGTGTATGCTTGGTACTCACAGAGGCCAGAAGAGAATGTGGGATCCCTGGGACTGGAGTTACAAATGCTTGTGAGTTGCAATGTGGCTGCTGGGAGTGAATCCTTAGTCCTCTGGAAAAGCAATCAGTACTCTTAATTGCTGAGCCATCTTACTAGCCCCTATTTGTATTTTCTTGACAACGAGTTATGTGGAAAACTTTCAATGTGCTTTTTTGGTCCGTGGCTCACTTGGCTGTGCACTTTTCTATTGACTTGCCCTCTTGATTCGTTGGTATGTTTTGGCTGTAGGGCTATAGAGCTGTCTCCCAATCATCCTACTGTCTCTTAGGAATGCTGCACTAGTTCTGAACTTAGCACAGGAGTCCTTGGGGCAAGCCACACCCACACACATGCCTTTGACTGTCATTTGTGTTGTTAACACACTGCCAGTTCTATCTAAAGATGCTCTGCCTTCCGGATGCTGTGTTTCCTGGGATCCATATTGAAATAAAGACAGAAAGAGTAGCGATGGGTGGTACTGGTACACTTTCTGCTACTGTAACAGAGCTCTTAGCTGGGTGTGGTATCACAATCCTTTAATCTCAACACTTGGGAGGCAGAGGCAGGCGGATCTCTGTGAGTTCGAGGCCAGCCTGGTCTACAGAGTAAGTTCCAGGATAGCCAGGCTTTCATAGAGATACCCTGTCTAAAACTAACCGACCAACCAACCAATGATGAACCTTGTTGGGGAACTTGGTAAAGAAATCTTTCACTCTTAGCTCTGGGAATGCAGCACATGGCCCTAGTCTCAACTTGGCTCTGGTCAAGGCCTCATGGAACAAGTGAGAGGAACCTGGGTTAACAGGAAGCCAGACAGTGACCCTCAGGGTCAGTCACAGGCTCTTGTTACAATTTCCTCTCTTGAGGGCTCTCTCAGGGATCCCGTGAGAAATACCCCAAACCTCTTCTGAGAACAACCCCAGTGATCTAAAGATGTCCCAGTAGGCATATCTCTTAAACTTTCCATCACCTTTCAACACTACCACAGTGGAGCTGAGCTTCTATCACATGAACCCTTGTGGATGAACATACCCAAACATAGCTATGCTTACTTCATTCTTGAGAAAAACAATTGCCACATTGTCTATACCGGCAGTACCTGTCTACACCGGCAATAGGTCATTGTTTGGGGGTTTTTCTGTACTCTGTATGTTCCAAGGAACCAGTGTCATTCCTTACTGTTCCTGTTAGCAGTCCTTAGCTAGAGCCAAGTTTTTGGAAAGTTAGCATGTGCCGGGTTGTTGTTGACTGCCCTTGAGTTGAGTCCCATGACCTTCCCCTATTCAGATGGTGAATTTTAAAATGCATGCAAGGCTTCTGAGACTGAGGGGCATCCAGAGGCTGGAGTCCCCGAGGTCAGGACCTGCTGCCCTTTATGATGAGAACTCTGAAGGCCATTCCTCTTTAACGTCACCTGTGGTGGTGTGGATATGTAGTTAGCAGCTGTTGGTTACCCTGCGTGAGCCAGTTGTCTGTACAAAGCAAGAGTCAAATAATGACACGGAGATTCAGCGTGCCTGGGGAGCGGCTACATCCCCGAGTTACTGTGACCAGATCAGCTCTTTTTCCCCTTCATTTTTAGCTCTCTTGGTTTCTCCAAATCATCTGGATAGTTCCTCAGTGGTCTGCATGCTTATAAGAAGGTAAGGCATTGAGTCTTCATGTAACCTCATTGTCTATTACTCTTGGGTTCCCTGAACAAGCGATGCAAGGCTTCTGTCTCAGTTTTTCATTCCCAAATTGGAGATTAGGGAAACCGTAAGGCAGATATAACCACCAAAAAAAAAAAAAATCAAAGCTTCATAATAAAGACATTGTTTCTCTTCCAGTACTTCTTGTTCTTCAAATTACCATCTCCAGAGGCACTGAATTCATCTGGACCTCAAATGCACCATCTTACCACAAGAGGGTGTATTTGACCTTTGTCAACGATGGAGTCTAAAATTTGAAGCCTCTCTTCATAGGCGTGGACTTTTCAGAGGGCTTAAGATGTAAGAGATGAATTCCAAATGTCATCATCAAATTATTCAGGAAAGTTCTGCATGTGTGCGTGTGTGTCTCTGTGTGCCCATGTGTGTCCAGGAAGTCTGTAGCTCCTTCCCATGTGTTTGCTGATGCCTGTAGAATGGGAACCACGTTCGGACTGCATTTCTTCCACCAACCAGCAAATGTTTGACTTTCAGAGGAAAGACTGTCCCATAAGGAAGACAAGGGTTTTTATTGGGAATCCATAAAAAAAAAAAATACCCCAGCTCAAGAACATTGCTGCTAATGTGTCACCTTTCATGTTAGTTTTCTCTTCAGTGGGGACATCTTTTGGTATCACCTCACACTGGGCTTGCTGGTTTGTGTCACCAAGTCATGATATATGCTGTACCTTATCCCATTGCTATTTCTGTTAATCTCCCTAAATCTAGAACCCTAGGACAAGAAAAGCCTTGAGGAAAGTCAGATTTTTGAACTTGAATTTCTCACAGTCACTTAGCGGGCAGGTTATCATTACATCCGTTGTATAAAGCTCACAAGCTGCCGTTTAGCTCGCATTTATCCTACACACATCGTATGAAGCATGTAGGCGGCTACCCCGCAGCTTTAGTCAGATTTTTGAGTTGCCGTGACTGGATACCTGCTGGAAATCAGTTAAGGCAAGAAGGATTCATTTTGGTATGTGGTGCAGGGGTTTCAGATCATGGTGGGGAGGTCTCTGGGGACAGAGCAGTTCACATCATGGTGGCCAGGAGGCAGAGCAAGTGGAATAGATTGCTGACCTGTTATAACCTTCAGGGGCCCACCTCTGGAGTGTGCTACTCCTTCAGCGGGATCCGTTTCCTGAAATTTCCACGGCCTCACTGAACAGCACCGCCATTTGGTGAGCAACTGTTGAACGTGGTCCTGTGGGGGGCATTGCACATTCACGTCTTACTGTCTTTGTCACAGCTTACTGTGAGGTTTAGGGAAGCAATGGTAATGTAGCAGATACTATTCAAGAAACTATTTGAGGAAAAAGTTTGTGGGGGGGGAGGAGGGGAGGGCACATCTACTTTCCGTCCTCCTGTTTGTACTCCCAAGTAAAGTACGTTTTTATGCTTCTTGCTTTGCAGAAGGATTGTAGTAGAAATTGCCTCTAAGTCGCTGCTCAATCCTGAACTTATGGATGGACTCTGCTGAGGAATTCCCGTTGACAGACACAGGACAAAGGGGTGTGGGAGGAAGGGCAGGGTAGTCAGTTTGGAGCTTGTCTTACTGTGTTTGCAGTATAGGGCAATGGTGGCTCTTCAGGAGGTCTGGAGAGACTGAGCGCCAGCTTCTGAAGCCTTCTGCAATCCTCAGTTCCCTGTCCTTAAGTCACAGCAGTGTGGAAGCCGACACATCCAAATTTAACTGCACCCTGGACTGGGTAAGTCAGGATCTCAGCAGGGCTGTGATGACCGAGAGACTGGAAGCCCTTCCTGTTGCTGTATGGGGGCTCTCAGAAACCTTCCTGATTCTGTGAAACTTTCAGTTAGGTGCAGGATCCTGATGGCGGATAAGTTGCCTACTAGTTTACTTAACAGTATTCAAAGTCAGATTTTATTGGACATAAAAGAAAATAGAGGAATAGCAATGCCAGTCCGCGCAATGCCTTGTACCTTTGTGAGATCTGTAGATAGGCCTTAGCACTCAGTAAATCGATGGCAACGCCTTTTAGCTCTCCCGCCAAATGACAGATTGTGCCTGTGTGACCTGCATATCCCTGGTATTTCTGCATGCTCCAAGGTGCTCCCGTGTGATAGATACAGTGAGCATCTACTGCATGCTGAAACCGTGGCAACAGCTTATGAAATGATGGTGAAGAAAAAGAATCAAAGTCTCTGGCAGGGTTTGCTTTGTAGGTTAGAGGGAGACCAGAGGATGCTCCTGAAGTAGGAAGCTTTGGGATATGGTTGACTTTAAAATTTATTTTATTTTTAGTGTATGTGTGTGTGTGTTTGTTTGTGTGCACATGTGTGTAGATGCCATGGAGGTTAGAGGCTTCAGATACCCCTGGAGCTGGAGTTACAAGAGATTGGGAGCCACCTGATATAAGTCCTGGGAACTGAAATTCAGTCACCCAGAAAACAGTAAGTGCTCTTAACAGCTGAGCCATCTCCCCAGCCCTATAGTGCTGCCGACTTTAAATAGAAGGACCTTAGAGATTAGGCTGTTTTTTTTTTTTTCTTTTTTTTTTCTAGAAAGAACAGTGTAGTCTGGATCATCTTTTGCAGGGAGACAGAAGGTCAAGACCACAGCAGATTCTCTGCCCATTTATTATCTCTCCCGAGCTATTTTCCTTCCCTCCTGTCCATCTCCTCTCTTCTCTTTTCTCAGTGATTTAGACTTCTTCTAGATCCCCCAGCCATCTAGACACCACCAGGATGCCCTACAGTGCAGCTTACCCGACACAGACAGTTAGCGTCACACCCCTCAACATCCGGGAACTAGTGTCATAAGACGATTTTTACTTTAAACAGTCTTCAAAAGTCTCAAGTTATGGTATTGATACCAAACAGGCTAAATAAAGGCTCTGGGTCAGTAATTGGCTAGAATTACTCCTAGAATGCAGGATGTAGAAGCTCGGTACTTGTCTACTCCCTAACCTCTCCTGGAATTCACCATTCTACTCTCTGAATAGCGCACTTACTTGATAGAGTGACTGTCCTTCCAGGCACAATGGCAGGCAGTCAGGGATTTATCAGCATGACTGTTTGGTGTTTTCTTTGAGAGCTGTTATTTTCACACAGTTCTGTTTTTACCATTCTAACAAGTTTTTTTTTTTTTTTTAATAAAGTTTTAAGACGTCTTCTCTTGACTCTAACTATAAGGGCTAAGAGAAAATTTCAGTTTGTGTTATACTAACTAGTTTAAAGAAATGTTTAAGCATGCTAAGCTCTTGGGGGATTTCTATTAGATTGCTCAACACCACACCAAGTAATTTTACTAGGTCTTTACTCGCCCAAGTTAACCACAACTGGAGCTGGCCGACTTCTTCACCTTCTGTGGGAACCCGCTCTTCCCTGGCACCTGGACCACCCAAAAACTTGACTGCAGAGGGTTTAGGTCTCCCCTAGTCTACAGACCTCTTCTCCATCCCACTTCTGAATGGTCATCTTTGGCCCCAGCATTGATTTCTAAGAGGGTTCTCTTTATGTCCTTGCCTGTGTGCGGTACTCACAGAGGAACCTGCGGGAAGTGGATTACATTGACACTTGAAGCTCTGAAGGCCTCAGGGGTCTTTACCTCTGAGCTGGTTCTTTGTTTTAACCTCTGCATCGTCCTCTGACATCATCTTTCTCCCTTTCTGGGTCCCACTCTCCAACTCAGCAGGTTCAGGAAGGCCCACTCCAGGGCTGGAGGAGCCTCCCATCTCTGTATCACCAAGTCACTTCCAAATCTGATCTTCTTCCTGTGTTCAAGCACCACAAAAAACTACCCACGTGTATGTGCCTACGTGTTCATCTGAAATACTGCAACTCTGTTTCCTCAAGTCAGCAAGCATTTCCCGAGCATTTCTGTGCAAGGCATAGGAACAGGCTGACGTTGAAGTTCCCAAAGAGGCAAAACATTGCGATACAAGTAAGGGGAAGAAGGAAAAACTCTGGCTACTCAAAGGAAGGAGAAATTGCCCCTGAGTTTCTGTGCTGCCACCATCTTGGCTTTTTTTCCCCAACTCCCTTCAGTATAATCCCCTAGTAACTGGGACTCCTGTTTTACTGGTTCCCTCCAGTATAACCCCTTAGTAATGGGGACCCCTGCTCCCCTTAGCACACCAACAGCACACATGCAAGTCCCAAACACCTTCAGCAAGTCTCACTGGCGTGTGAATTCTAATTGACTTCATTGCCTAGTCCATTACCTTTGTTTATTGAGTTTAGTTTGCTTCCTGCAGAGAAGATCGCACTAGTCACACAGCATACAAAACCATCAAGTACGAGCAGGAGCCTGTCCCTCTGTTCCTGCTAGTGCCCAAAGCCTGGGGAGGTCATCTGGGAGGTGCTTTTCCTCCTGGTTCAAAGCCAATAAAGGAGGGAGCCACGGATACCTTAAATCAGGATGAATATTATTGATTAATGCAATGAGGGGCGGGGATCACAGCGCACAACCCAAATCTCCACAGCCAGCTAACTGCACAGTCTACATTTTAATTCTAGATTGCTTGCAGTGTGTGTGTGTGTGTGTGTGTGTGTGTGTGTGTGTGTGTGTGTGTTTGTATGTGTGTGCGTGTGTGTCTGTGTCATTGTCTCTGTGTATGTCTGTGAGTTTGGAGATTGGAAAAGCACTTTCCTTTCTGGCTAGAGGACTTGCACTTTGTTGCAAGATGTATGTGGATTGGCCCTTTGCTGAACTAACATCTGAACCTGTGTAGTTAGTTGATAAAATGTTTGGGGACCTGAGAGAGAACTGAACAGGACTGCATGAATTTCTCGGGCGCCTTTTAGTTCCCCGGTTGTGGTTGTGAGAGCTTAGAAATGTACAGTGTGAGCACAGGCTTCCTGTTCTGTGGTTTGCAGCTGCTCTGACTAACAGGTCTTTGTAGGTCTCTCTTTGTTTCCCACAAAATGTTCTGAAGACAGCTAAACTGAAGTTCAGCCTGATTGGTAACACAACCCTCCCCTCCACACATGGACTGTGGTAGGTGGAGACCGGGCTCCCACAAATGACAAGACTTTCCTGATACATCCACAGTCCCTTGTGACCCACACAGCCACTGCAGCAGCGATAAGGAAGCTGAAAAGTTTGTGCACCCCAATAAGCCCCTCTGCCAATGCAACAATCCAAATCAAACCAAATTAGTAAAAGTGCAAGTTTAATGGATAAAAATTCCACCAGATGATTTTCCAGACCTCCCCCCCACACCCTTAGAGGAGACCAGGAAAGAAGACCAGAAAACCACATGTCTGTTCTCTGGGGGACAGTTTAAATACCCTGTGGGAGTGGTCTTGAGCATCTCTGGGGGATGGGTCATCATTTGGCAGGTTTTCTGAGATGCAGCAGGGTTTGGAGAGAGATGGGGAAGGGGACTTGGAGTGGAGCTTCCTCCTGAACACTCCATCAGAACATCCCAGACTCTTTGGGTATATGGATGCCAGGGGCTGGGGTGAAGCTTCCATCAGAACAGAAGCATTTTGTACCTCACCCTAGCCCAAGTCTGAGAAGGAATCTGTTGTGTAGGTTTCCTTTTCATAGTTCCTTAAAAGAATCAGGGAAAACTTATTAATACACAAACAATGGCTTGAGTTTTCCAGTCACCTTGGGATCATAACTCCTCAGGGCTGCAGACTTGGGGAAGTGAGGCCTCGTAGGAGGTTTTGGGTCAAGGAGCAGACCAATGAATGCAAGGAGCTGCCCTGCAAATTTGAATTTTTTCTCCACTGCAGACTTCCTCCCTCCAGACTTGTGAGCCCAAACAAACCCCATTTCTCTGTCAGCTATTCACCCCTGGGTTCCCTTACAGTCACAGGATGTGGAATGAGAGATGGCCGAGGACGTGGCCATGGTGGGTGACAATGCTCCAGCTGTGGACTGGAGGAAGGACTCTGGGGCAGTGCCTGGTGGATTGTGGATTCTCATCCCCTGGGTACTTAGAAGCATCAGAGCACCCAGCAGGAGGGATGCGAGACCCATCCCCTCCAGCACATCTAGTGTCTGTCATGTAGGAGATACACATCAGAGCTACACTCCAGCTGTAGATCTGAAGGAGGCTGCAGCTGACTCAGAGGTGGGCAGTGAACACAGCTGTGACCAACGAAATGTTCTCGTCTCTTATAAGCCTAGTGTTTTGTAAAAACTCTAAAAGTTTATTCTTACTTAAACATATATAGAAAGAAAATTAAGATCCCATGTAAGAATCTACTTAAAAGTCCTAAACCGGGTAGTGGCACACACCTTTAATCTTAGCCCTCAGGAGGCAGAGGTAGGCCAATCTCTATGAGTTCAAGACCAGTCTGGTCTACAGAGCAAGTTCCAGGACAGCTAGGACTGTTACACAGAAAAAAACGCTGTCTCGAAAAAACGAAAAACAAAACAACACAAACAATAAAAGTCCTGCCACGGCCCACCTAGGTTCCAAGTTGGTATAACTAGATACTGTTGTAGTTTATTGTCTGTTGCTGTAATAGAAACTTCACCCAC